AGAGAGAGAGAGAGAGAGAGAGAGAGAGAGAGAGAGAGAGAGAGAGAGAGAGAGAGAGAGAGAGAGAGAGAGGTTTTGTTTCCCATTTTCTCCGTTTCTGTTGTGCGATTCCTTTACACATACATTCGGTTGTGATTAATTCTTTTTTTTAAGGCCGAAACAGCAGCAGTCCATCGATTACAATCTTATGACATTCACCCTCTCTGGTCATGCCAACTCCTCAATCGAGCTGATAGTGATGGGAGATTGTGTTATCGTCTCTAGGTAAATACTGCATGCATACTCTCATAGCCTTATAGGTGTTTTGGACTGTTTTCTCTTTCCTTTTTTTTGTTGTTTAAAAGGTGATCAGCCCCCAACTTCGTTTTGTTCATCTCGTTCTGTCAGGATTCAAACTCGTCCATAAGGACCTGTTTCTTAGGAGGGGGGGGGGGAGAAATGGGATTTGAACTTGTGTTTCTATTTGCTAACAGTTAGATGCGTGTGTTTTTCCGCTAAGAGGGGGGGGGGAGGGGGAGGGGGGGGAAGAATAACCAGGTCCTTATGGTTGTGGCTCTATATCTGTTCTGGGGAGGGTCAGTCCGGTTCCTTTTCCCCCAGTGAGTCATGAATATACATCAATTACACCCTCACTCTCCCTTCCATTTGGCCTAAGGACCCCTGAACAGCATTGATTCCTCCATATTTCAGAAGGATCGAATGTCAGCTTGCCTTTCTCATGTATTGTTCTCAGGTTCCAGGGACCTTCCACCCCTTGACCTGTCAGCTTTGCCCTTTCAAAACAAGAATCACAAGGAAGCAACTTCGCTTCCTTGTGTGTGTCGCCTCTTGAGTCACTCTTCAGCTTTTTTGTCCAATGTTGTTGCAACTGCTTCTGATCACCACAACAATGTTGGGCTCAGAGATTTCTCCGTTTCCGTAGTCTGCCTCCACAGTGCAGTCTCCGAGTTGTGCCAATCCTTGATTTTCATAAATTGAGTATGGTTCCATTTTTATTATATTTTTCCGGATGGACCACAAATCATGTATTAATTACTATTAAACTGACCAGAATATAATCAACATATGCTACACTTGGTGTTAGCCAAAACGATGAGAAAGGTATCGTCGTTCCAATTTTAACGGATGTCCTGAAGGACAATTTCCATAAATTCAATGATTGGCTGAATGGTTGTTTTTGCAGGTGACGTTCAGAGCAAGGATAGGCAAGGACAAACGCTTGCCGCACAGAGGGATCTACCCAGAAGAGCTTGGTGTGGTGAGTGGCTATTGGCCTTGATGTTTGGCACCCTGACGTCAAATATAGGACTTCAAATTCTACAGCTTGAATTTTGTTTGATTCAGCCTCTGTGTCTTATCACGTCCATTTTCTTGATGAATGTATCGAGTCCATTGACGCTGTCAAACCAGCTCATAATAGTAGTGAAGTACCGAAGACCCAGTCGCCATGCTAGCAACGTCATCCAAGAACCTCTTGCTGCATAACAATCAACGGCTATGGATTCTGTTTTGTGGGCTTATCCAACACTTGCATTCATATCACGGGAACTTACCAGTCACAGCAATTAATTTATCAATTAAGTGGCCGGGCAAACACTCCAATCAGTAGACCTTCATCCTTTTGTCCCTGCTTCCCTCATAGTGTGCTCTTTGAGAGGTACTGTTATCCCTTCTGTGGTCTTCCTCCCTACACACCATTCCTCCTACACATTTCCATTTTTTTTTTTTTTTTTAAGTACCCTATATTCTTCTCTCAAATGTTTCATCATCTTTCAAATTCTTTCAATTCACCTTCGCTACCTGCCTACCACTACTCCTAAGGCTTGTACAGTGGACCTCTGCGAACATAGCTTTGTCCTCTCCGTCCAGCCATTAGAGGGGATGCATGTTGCCCCCCGCCCCAACCATGGTGGTCAAGGATGGGGTGGGGCCGCCGGTGGGGGTCTGGCTAATGCAAAGATCGAGCATTTTGCCAGTAGCTGCACCTCCCTTTTCATCGTCCCCCACCCCCAACCAAATAACAGCAGTGTCTAAGGCCAACACTCTCACACACACCACACACCACACACAACACACAACACACTCACGCTCACACTCACACTCACACCCATGTTGGCCAAGGACCCTACCAATACCTGTCAGAGGTATCAAGCGGACCATCACCACTGGTTGGCACTAAGTGCACTGCAACCTGGATGTTTTTTTTTTTTTTTTTGTACTTTATTACAAGTTAAGCTGGGTCTTGTGTAACAGGCCCATTGGAGACCTGGAACTGCTCGGCACAGTATGTCATGTGAGAGACACCGCTGTTGTGAGGGGAGTTTGTGTTTTGTTGTTTTTTTTTTGGTCGTGTTCTGCGCGCTCGAGGCCACTTCCCGCTTAGTGCTCCTCGGCCTCGTCGTTTGTTTGAAGTCTCTCAGCCCGAATCCATGTCAGCCCCTTTTGTCGTTTCCCGCTGTGTTTTCTCTGGCACCATGCTGTTTCTGGCTGGTCGCATGTCGGGTCACCTTTTCGGCAGTGGGGGGTTCGCTTTAGTACGTTAGTGGGCGGTTGGAGTGTGTAGCAGTCCCATTGTTATGCTTGGCAAGAGTTTGAGCACATGTTCGAGTACGGCTATAGAGGGAGTGGTTGTCCGAGTTCGAGTATGGGCCTCGCTCCACTATGCACCATATGCACAAAAGACAAAGATTCATTTTCATTTGCACAGTTTGGTGAGTAATGGAGCGAGGCCCTCCGTAGCAGTCCGGCTGTTCTGCTTGGTAGAGTTCAAGCACATGTGGGAGCAGTAGTCCGAGTTCGTCATTCCGTTCCTTCTTGTTGTGTCGTTTTCTTTGACTGCACAACTCTGAAATGGGGGCCAATGTTCGACTGTAGCTGTACAAGCCCATGGCAGCCCTGGAGCCGTTGTTGGACATTCCTTTTTTCCAGTGTTGTTTTCTTTGACTTAGGAAACCAGCAATACAGATCAAAGTTCAATCCAGCTGTCTATAGCAGCCCCGCGCATGACGCACCTGTGTGGATGGAGATTTGTTTTCCCACTTGTTGATTCTACTGCATTATCAAATACAAGTGCATAGGAGCTTTTCCCAGATGCAATCCTATCCCCAGATTCCCCGCATGTTGGAATACAAGTGCATCGGAGCCCCTCCGCGAACGGAAGGAAAGCCTGCAGGTTAGGCCACGCCCATATGGGGCTTCTTGGCCGTGGCAAGGGACCAACTGTGTCTGATGTTCATGGTGTGTTTTTTCTTTTTGTTTTCATTGGCCTCCGCCACGTTGCAGTGGGCATCTGCTTGTCTTTGTAAAGGGTGACGGCCTATACAGTGCGCTGAAGTAGAGAAGCAGCACAGAAGTGGGACAGCGACGTCATTATTGGCTATGTAATCCTTCTATATTATATCTAATATTATATATATATATATATTCTGTGTCTGTCTCCGTGCCTACCTCCATGTCTGCCACCGTGCCTGCTTTAGTCTTCATTCCCCCGCATGCTGCACTAACACCTTGTGACCTCC